TATGTTTAGTTGTAAAATAATATAAGATTCTGAGAATCTTTCAAAACCAATAATAATTACTGTTGGTAATATAATTTTCTTAAGTATTTTAAGATTACTTGGTAATCTTAATTTTGTTACAATTTTACCCTTCAAAATTAAAATTTTTGGACAATAATACCCCTATTTTGAAATTAATTTACATGAACCTTGCCATTACAATTTTGCCCTTAAATAATTAAAGTTATGGACAGTAATGCCCTTGTTTTTAAAACAATTTACAAGCCACTTAAGAGGACTGCTGGCATCCAGCCACCATCACCACCACCAGCGACCACAGTCGACCAATATCGTCGGAATGGAGCACAATTGGCCAGATTTGGCCGGTCGTGCGCTAACATGACTGTGGATCTGAGATTTTTTTAGGTTGGGAAGCCGCTAGTATTAAACCCGATCTAGGCTGATTTCGACATCATCGTCAGCCCCAACCACCACCATCTCACTCCTCTCGTTTTCCTCTTCAAATCCCACCAAACCCCATCATCGGAACTACACCCAATTTTCGATGAAGCCCACTATTTTTGTGCGTGATTTCCCTTTTTCTTGGCGCTTCGATTGCGTTTTCTATTGGAAATCACCCCCACTTGCATTGATCGACTCCCCTTCACCTCCTCTTCAAAACCTTCAAAGAGCATCTTCATTGCACTTCCCGATCGACGACCGACGATGGTTTAGGCGGTTGGCAGTGACTTGAGTGGGTGGGGGTGTTTTTGTTAAAAAATAAAATTTTATGCTGCTAGGGTATTTTAGCAAAATCTCCAATATAGAAGGTTAAAAGAAATGATTCAAAATAAAATAATTAAAATAATATTTTATTAATATTTTAAAAGGAGGGTAATTTAGTAATCTATATAACATACTTACTGATTTGTTCCTCCCAACAAAACATATCAATATAATATACTTACTCATTTATTTCAATAATACATTTTCTTAAATATTCCAAGTAATCTATCTTTCCATTAATATACCATTCATAAACTAACCACCCTAAAAAAGTGCTCCAATTAACCCAAAAAAATTTCTTTTCTTAACCAGACTAGAATAAAAAATTAATCCCAATAAAAAAGAAAAAAGAAAAAAGAAAAGGAAATCTAAGTGGCATGATGGCCACCTATAAACAGAGACAAAAAGAAATGATGAAGTTTGCCACCCCAACTTAGGGCCCAGAAATTTTTAATAAAAAACAAAATATAATAATTATTATTTTAAATATTTTAATTAACAAAGTATTATTTAAGTAAAATTAATAAATTCAAAATTAAAATAATAATTAAAACAAAAAAGGCTCCCAAGTCTCTGTACATGATGCAAGCTATTCTCTCTTAGTACGACTATTGTGATATCATCTCTACGTCATCTCTCCGTCATCAACATGATTTATTTTACAATTATTTTAATTTCTAATTTTATATTCCATAATTTTTGTTTTATATTTCAAAATATTTAAGATTTAGTTTAAAATTCCAGACTTATATTATTTTATACCTCTATTTGTGTAGAATAATATAATTTTGTTTATTAATTTTTGGTAAAAATATATGTAATTTAAAGTTTAAACCAAGTAATTCTTCTTTCCCTTTTCGTTAAGAAGATGAGTTGGGGATGATTTTTAGTTATAAGATTTATACATCTAGGAGTTTTATTATTATAAAAAATAGTTATAAATATTAATTTGACAATATATTTTTCAATTATTCTCTGAAATTTTGGATTAGAAATTTTTTATTTATTTTAATATTAATAAAATACTCATCTACCTCCATTTCACCTACTAAAGGGCTAAAGGGTGTTGTTATAAAGAGAGAGTCAATTAGATAATTATATCTTTCATTGATACCATCTTGAATTTAATTAAACTTTATTAAGTATATAATTTTATCATTAACCCTCTTTTTACTATCCAATGCCTATAAATATTCATATAAATTCACCAAATTATTATAATAAAAAATAAATTAATTTTATTAAGATTACTTTACTATATCCACTTGGTTCTTAATTATTAATTACTACAAAAAGAGTGTAGATTGTTTGTAATTCACAAATATAATTAACAACTTTTTTAATTAAGTTGAAGAAATGATAGTAAATAATCATAGTGGCTAAAAGAAATACACTATGAAGGAAATTGTTACAAATTCAAAAATAATGATAATAATAATAATTATTTATGTTGCATGCAAAATAATTAATTAATTATTATAAGTTACTATTGCTAATTGTTTTGAATGAATCACTACTACTCTCTAGCTACTTATTATTATTCTAACCTTTACAAATTAATTCAAGTATGATTAATAGAATTTTAACCATATAATAATTCATAATTATTTCTACAAAATGAATGAAGTTAATGATTAATTATTATAATTAATTACCATGCATTTGATTCGACCAAGTACGACATTATAAACATTATTATTATTACATTATGAAGAAAAGGTAGCTTATCTTATGGCTTAAATTATGTAATTAGTATGATGATTAATCTCACAAAGTAATAATTATTATTATTTTTAATTAACAATTACTAAAGTTACAAAGCTAGGATTATTACTTTTAATTGAAGAGACTAATCATAACATTATTATTTTTATTATTATTTTAATATTATAATATCTTGTTTGGAATTTGAGAAAATGGTGGGTAGACGTGGGTTGTCCTTGTGGGGTAATTTCGGAAAGTAATAAAAATATATAAAAGAAAGGTTTTAATTAATTATTATGAAAAGGAGATGAGAAAGGTGAGAAGCTTTTTCGCTGCAAAAAGTCAAATAGAGCCTCCATTTATAAAAATAAATAAATAAAATTAAAAATTAAAAAAAATAATTAAATCAATCAATCATGATGATGATATATCTTCACCGCCGATTCAGAATTTTAGATTTGCACCCAAGATCTCTCATCATTGCTATTACTCCTTCATTTTATTTATTCACAATTTCTTTTAATTTTCCTTTTTTCTTTTTTAATTTCATTCCTCCAGTAAGATAATTTTCCAATGTCCAAACAATTTTAAAAAATCATCAAATATCTTTCAAAAATTACAAAAAATTATGCTAAAAATAACATAAAATCTTCTCTAAAGTACGAAGAAACCCCTTAAAATTTTTTTTTTAATCAAATGTGCTTTAATATTTTTTTAAAATCGTTGTAATATTTAAAACTTAACTATCTCTTAAATAAAATCAAAGGTAAACCCTTTAGCTATTAAGCTTATTTGTAGCTAAGAATTTTGTGTTTAAATAATTAAAGAGATGTTTATCATATTTATATAATAATTTTTTGTGTATTAAATTTCTAGAATGTTTTGTAACTCTCAAAATTAAATAGAATCGACTGATAATTATGTCTGAATATCTCATTTATTAAAATAATAATAATATCGTTTGGTTTTATAAAAGAAACCCTGGATAAATAATCATTCACACAACAAAAAAGAAAAGAAAAGTAAAAGAAACCCTAAGAAAGTGATAGGAGCTAGGGATTTTCATGACCCTTTCTAGTTTTTCTCATTATTATGATATGTTATTTTTTTTTAAATTTGTATATTTTCTCTTCTATAATTGTGTACTCATTTATATATACACTTTATTTTTGGTGACAGAAAGTTGTATAAATCTTTAATCAGGAAGAAGCTAGAGAGAGAGAGAGAGAGAGAGAGAGAGAATGTCACTGTTCCCTCTCTTTGTCGTCTATTGTTGACCTTCTCTCAAAAACAGGAAAATTCCACTAAAAAGAGAAAAATGAGCCTTCAAATTTTCTTACTTTTCAGGTCAATTTATATTATGTTTTTCATTCATTCCTCCTTTTATATAAATATAAATTTCAGTTGAATGTTAAATTAACTACCACTTCTTCTACAACTCTCTCTACATTTAGATACATAAACCTTTTTTTGGTATTATTTCTATAATATTTATTTATTTATATATTTCAAGGGGAAAGTGAAAGGAGGAGCCAAATGGGAAAGTGGTTACACATATAATATAAGTCTTATAAATTTATAGGTATTTTGTTATTTTCATGATCTCTTCCAAATTCTTCTCTCTTTATCTATCTCCATCTTTATCTCTCTATATATATCTATCTATCAATCTAGAAGTTTGAGTGAAAGAAAGAGAAAGAGGGTCTCTTTGAATCGTTCTTTCAATCTAGGCTTGTAAGGTCTCCTCTTGAAAGAGAGCTAGTGATTTCAATCCATTTTTGATTTGTTTTTTTTTTTTTTTTGTTTTTTGTTTTTGATCTTCTTCGTCAAAAGAGAGAAAAAGAAAGAAAGAAAGAAGAAATATGTTTGAGGATCATCAAGGGATGGCAGCTGCTGCTGCTGGAGCCACAACACAAATGGGATTTCTTCCATTTTCAATAGCAGCAACTGCAGCTCCAAACTTGAACTTTACTAACAACAGTAATAATTCTTCTTCTTCGTTGGATTGCCATCAATCTCTCAAAAATTTCTCTATTCCTCCTTCACTTTCATCTCATCATCATAATAATAATAATCTCTCTGGAACCCTACTTTCTCCTTCTTCACCTCATGCTACTGACCATTTCGGAGGCCCCCAACTCCTTTCATTGCAAAGGTCATCTGCAAATCTCTGGTAAAAACCATGCACAACTCTGAACTTCTTCTTCTTCCTTTTATTTGGTTTCATGCATATGTGTTTTATAGTCATTCCTGACTTTTTCTTGATATAACACTGAGTTTCGTGACCATTTTGGTGCAAAATTAGGGCGTATGGAGATGTAAACGAGTGCTATAACAACAAGAGAATGGTTCAAGATCATCATTTGGGTGTCACCGCCATGAAGATGAAGAAAATAAAAACCAGAAGGAAGGTTAGAGAGCCTAGATTTTGCTTCAAAACCATGAGCGAAGTTGATGTTCTTGATGATGGATATAAGTGGAGAAAATATGGCCAGAAAGTGGTAAAAAATACTCAACACCCCAGGTAATTAAATTATTTTTATAAAATTGAAAAATTTGTAAAATTTTTTTTTTCACAATTTAAATTTTTTGGGTGTTCCTCGTTTTGCTTTTATAACTTAGTAATCTTGTGAAAAGTTCATCTGACATTGGATTTTAGCCTTAGTTGTCCCCCATAACACATGCTATGTTTTTTTTTTTTTTTTTTTTTTTTTTTTTTTGAACTTCTTTTCATTTCTCTCATATTATTAATGTTGTTATGATTGCTGTTAGAGCTTTTACAGTTTGAGGCAGAAGATTTTAAGGGTAAAAGAAGAAAATGTAAATGTAATAGATATTAAAAAATAAAATGATGAAGAACACCAAGTATATGAATATAGATATATATATAAGCCAAGGCAAAAAGCCAAAAAGAAGAAATAATTAGGTTTAAAAGATGAAAATCACAATACAATGATAAAAAATATATACAACAATTGATTAATTATAATGTACTATGACAAGGAAACCAGAGGGAACTTTCAATCTTTAAATATTAAGGTAATAATAAAAAGTTAATAGGCATCTCATTTTCCTATAATTAATTATCTTGGGTAGATATTTTTGTATATCTATTTATCAAAATAAATTATTGTATTGCTTGTTAATTTGTTGATTTGCATTTTGCATGAAGATTATTATATTGCTTGTTAATTTGTCGCGGTAAAGACATAAATTTACAAGAAAATTATAGAATATTAATATTTATTTATGTGAAAATAAAGGTTATATTATAAAGTTTTAGGCATCTTATTTTCCTAGAATTAATTCTCCTGGGTAAGTAAATATATATTATTTATCTATTTGTAATCCATGAAAAGTCTATAAAATTGCTTGTTTGCTTCCCTATGTGTTGATTTGCATTTTGCATGAAAATTATTATAGTCAATAAGCTCTAACTTTGCAAGAAAATAAGAGAAAAATAATATTTATTTATGTGAAAATAATGATATTTTTCTGATTAATTTAATTTGCAGGAAGATTTTTATATTCTAGTGTGTTATAATTTCATTTTAGCATGATTAATTGATTAGATACCACGTCATTATTATTCATCATACACCTCCTTTGTTTTAGCAATTATTTATGTTCTTTGAAAATCTGGGTTTTCCATAGAAATATCTGCAAAATTAAGCTTTCAAAGTCAAAAAAAGGTTCCCATTTTTTACAAATATAATTATTAATCTTTGTTATATTGGCTTATATTGGCTTTAACTACAGTGTTAATCTATTATTGTGGGCTGCTTCATTTTGACCTTTAAAATTAATTGATTTTGTAAATTATATTTTGTTTAAGATAATCCCAGATGATTCAGGCTTAGCACTGTTTAAAAATTACAAATTACAAGAACAGTTTTTTGTTTTTTTGTGATCATAACACTTTATAATATTGCTATTTCTCCAGGAAACATTTGCTGTTAAAAATGCCATGCTTATGCATACGTGTCCCAGCCATTTCAGAGTCTTATTTGAGCTCAATTTTGTTTTTTTTTTATCATTATTTTGTATGATTTTTCATTTTCTTTTGCTCAAGAGAATTGCTACTTTTGTTCATTGTTATTTTGATTTAAATATAATCACTATTTTGCTTAACCTAATTGCATGCATTATGGTTAATATTTCACCATTTTATCATCCCCCATCGGTGCAATTTCTAGCTTAATCAAAATTCTGTGTTCAAAGTATATGGTTTTTCAGGTTATTGTAAAGCTTTGGTGGCAATCACTTCTAATATATTCTCGATCGTTGCACAACATTAGGTCTCATTTGATCGTAACATATTAACAAAAATTCTTAAATGCGTGTGGGTGTCTGTTCATTAGGGTTGGAAAATGTTAAAAGACAAAATTTTACTGTGTTTGTTTATATGAAGGGGTCTGGATACGTTCATTACTGTAGTATTTATGTGCTCAAAAACTCGCTTTCATCATGCATTAGTCTTCAGTTTTCTCTCATGCTACAGTCACAGACTCAGATGCATATAAGACCGACGTGCTAACCTTTGCATGGATGAAGCTGATGAATATAGATATCTGGTTGTTTTGGGATGAAAATGCAGGAGCTATTATCGGTGTACGCAGGATAACTGCCGAGTAAAGAAGCGGGTGGAGAGATTAGCAGAGGATCCAAGAATGGTGATAACAACATACGAAGGAAGACACGTACATTCGCCGTCGCATGATCAAGAAGATTCACAATCGCCATCGCAGCTGAATAACTTCTTCTGGTAGAAGAACAACAATAATGTATAATGTTTAAGAAGAAGCAATGTGATTGTGTACGTACAATCTCTTCTCTGACCTCTTTTCTCTGTTGGCTTTTCTTAGTTTTCTTCTGTAACTGATGATGACATAAAATAGCGTTGGAAGAGCCGGAAAAATAACAGAGCTTTATATGCTTGTTTGTACATTGCTGTGTTAATTTTTTCCGGCCCTTCCATAACGTCGCTCTCTGCATGAATTATATAAAAGAACACTGGCACTTCCAAGTTCATTCTAAATAGTGTAAGCATCATAATAAATTTTATGTTGATATTTTACTTTATAAACTTTATTTTATGATTTTATAAATTTTACTTTTACGTTGATGCGTAAATATAGTGTTGTGCAATAACAAAAGTACAAAACCCTCCAGTCTTACTGAATATTCTAAATAAAAGAACTAATTAAGAGTAAATCTCTACTATCTTACTAGGAAAACAAAATAAAAAAGATTGAAGAAATGTTTTTTTTTTTTACATTAGTATATACTATATACTATATAGTATATACGTAATTAATTTCTGAGAATTGATATACCGGAAAGTTTATGATATGACAACTTATGTTTATTCGTTATTATTTATTTTCCAAATTAGATAAAGAGACATATAATTTGATTCATTTATACAATTAAAATTTTATATTGTTACTATCTTAGTAGGTTAGTCATTTGCCAAGACCTCTACGTTGGAGGATTTTTAATTAGCAGATAAGCGTAAGAAATAAATTAATATGGAATTTTGAGAACTCGATGGAATTATATATTTAAAGTTAAAAAACTTTTCTCAACCTAAATTTGCTCAGTTTTTTTTTTTTTTAATTACGTGATAAACTCGATGGAATTATTAAAAACTAAATATTAATAATCCGTCCCAAATGCATGGGTTATATATTATTAAAATGCAGATCTTGTTTATCAACGGTAATTAATGGTTAACGATTAAATAAATTTAAATTCAATTTTTTTTAATAAAAAAAAATTAATTGCAGCCCAAAACCAATCTCAAGAGACGGCCGGTCGTGATGGGCCTCATTAGAAAGTGCCACCAATACTGTTAAAGGAACGCCACTCGATTTCTAAGGACACTCACACCAAATTTATTTCTATCTGCACCGAAATTAATTCTAAAATATTTTTTCTTTTAATAATATTTTATTGTTTCTGTGAATTTAGCAACATTAACGTGTTAAATAAGATGGGTTCTAAATCCATTTAGAAGACATAATTTATTAAATTTTATTAGTTAATTTTTTTATCCCATTTTGAAAAGAAATCCAAGTAAATTCAATCCACTTTACATTATAAATAAATTAATTAATTAAATGCAACTTTAACATGGTACCTAAATTATTTGGAGTCAATCTTTTTAACGATTATTTACTGTTAACTTTAACGGAAAATGATAAAATGACATAGATGTCCTTGATTTTTTTTCTTTTGTTTTTTTGAAGTGAATTTAGTTCTTAAAGTCTAAATCTAAATTTAAAAAATAAAAATAAAGAAACTAAAAAAAATCAAAACCCATTTTTTTTTTCAAAGGAAATCCAAAATAATAATAATAAGAAATCTAAAAGTAAAATAATTTTTAATAAAAGAACAAAACTAAAAAAAAAAAAATTATTATTTATTTTGTAAAAAGGGATAATTTAAATGTTTTCATTATTTATTTTGTAAAAACAAAATTGTTCAATTACGTTTTTATCCTTATATAAAGTTAAATTTAACCCTAAATAATTGTTCATTATCCCTTAATTGAACAATTTATAACTTTCGGCCTCCCACTAAGAAAATAAAAAAAGTTTGTACCCTAATTGATAATATCCTTTTTTTTTTTTTTTTTAAATACATGAATATAATTGTTAAAATAATCAATTAATCTGATATGATCAATTTTTTGCACGTCTCTACCTCTTCCATACCTAAATTTGACCATATACACTAATAATGAAAAATTTGAGAATTCATATAAAATGAATTGTCAGAATTAGAAATCTGTCACACCATTGTAGATATCAACCCAATCAATTTGTTAGGCCATGGATTTTAGTTCCTTCTAAACATTGAAATGGTTTTAAGGCCAAACTTTTGTTATCTTTCTAATTTCTAAAATGTTTATTAGTTCAAACGTCGTGTAGAAAAACACTAATCTCAATCTATATTTAAGTACTTCGATCCTTTAATTGAATTGTCGATATTATTGAACTTGCAAAATGAATTTGTTTATCGAAAAACAATTCGTTATTATAATGTTGTTGGGCTAAAATAAAATAGAAAGGAAGAGTTTGACATTTGGGCTTTAATAATAGATAAGCCCGAGCCCAATATGTTTAGGTTGGAGATTAATTTATAGATTATAAAATAATTTTCTAATCAGAATATATTTATATTAATTTATCAAGACGAAACATATATAATTATATACTATTATAAGATAAATCCAACCGTGTATGTACATGGTCTTGATGAATCAGAACGACTTGGTTACCAAATTACTCATAATTTTTTTTTTCAATATTTAAAAGCATATTTAATATTGTATTCATGAACTATTTTTAAAATTTGCATTATTTGTTTAGGGTTTTTCTCATTGGAGAGGACATCACAATTGTGTACAAGCAATCATATCAAAATATCAGTAAGACTGAATTTACATGCCNTATGTTTAGGTTAGAGATTAGAGATTATAGATTATAAAATAATTTTCTGATCAGAATATATTTATATTAATTTATCAAGACGAAACATATATACTATTATATGTTTAGGTTAGAGATTAGAGATTATAGATTATAACCATGTTATTGCATTATTTCATGTCATGTTCTTGATGTTGTGTTATTTCTTTTACTTGTTGTTTAGCAAACAATGACGGAGCTGTGGAGGCCCTCGGACATAAATCATAGGTCCGTCGATGGATGCACATCAAATTTTTTCTATTAAATGATGTCAAAAATTTAAATTAAAAGACTGAGTTAGAGATTAATGATCTTTTACTAAATTTTAACGGTATCTAGTTAATCAAACATTTCACTTAAAAATGACCTATTTGACCTCAAAATTTACGCCATTAAAAATCAATCCAATAGTTATTATCCACCTAATAAAAGTTGAATTTGACATCAGATTTTTGATAAAAAGATTCCACGATTTTATTTATATACATAGATGATATAATATATTAAAATACAAACAATGCATCTCAAATCCTCAAAATTCTAAATTAAATGCACACGTTGGCCTTGGAGCCTATGAAGATATGCTTACCAGTGAATTAATTAATTAAAAGGCACTTAAAAAAGCTCAATTTAACCTTCATGTGTAGCCAATTTTAAAAACATTTTGCAGCAAATTTTGAAAACCAAGAAGGTGCTTCGTACTAAAAACCAAAAAAGTTGTGCTCATTGTAGGATTGAGTACAATTTCATAAAATAAAAAATTGATTAATGAGTAAACGACATATTCCCACCCAAGGTTTGACAAAATCCTAAGTTGGTACCCCATGTTACATTTATTCCAGATTTCCACCCTTAAAGTGACAAAAAAAAATGTTTGATATAACGGTAAAGGGGTAAACTGGTCATTTTACACGGGCGACGCACATTAGCAGACCACTGCCTCTAATAGTCCTCCGACGCACGTTAGCAAACGGTATCCCCGACGTTTTTCACCATTTTCCCGACGATTCTTCCATCCAAAATCACATTTGTCACCACCATTTGAACCCCCATCCTTCCGCCTACAAAACCATGCCGTTTACAACCCCTCATCACTCGCCAATCGTCGACCACCGTAGCCGCGACATGCAACTGCTTTTTGCCCGTTTTCAGCCGTTTTGAACGGCGACAACCCCAACCACCACCATTTGACTCCTCGCATCCTCCCCTACAAAACCCCTAACCTTCCGAGCCATGATAGCTCATCGTTTGCTATCCACCACTTCACCAAAAAAGGCTGATGAACACGAACTCTCGGCCGGCGATGCAACGGTTGCTAGGGACACAAGGGTTTTATAGATTTGGAGACAATGGTTGCAGTAGTGGTGTCCAATTGGATTTTCATCGCAGGAATCGACCGAAATCCAGCGAAGAACACCAAAACCCTAAGTCTAATGATGCCAGCGATTGGAGGGGCCAATGAGTCGGGAACCAGAGGGGTTTTGGATGACGAACTACAAGGAAGGTGATAGAGGTGACCAGGGGGTATGACACTGTCGAAAACAACCTAGATCGGGTTGTTTCCGATGATAGTGTGTAGTGACCGAGGCTGTTTTTGACATAATTTGAAACTAAAATGGTAAGTTTTATAATTCTACTAATTTAAGGGTTAAAACATAATTTATTAATTTAGGATTAAGGGCATTATGGTAATTGCACTCTCTAACCCTAAAAATTGCTAACACTATTATTTTAAGGGTGAGAATCTGAAATAAATGTAAGCTGGGGGTACCCACTTACGATTTCGTCAAACCTTGTATGGGAATAGTCGTTTACTCTTAATTAATTGATTAATTAGTTAATTAGTCTTGTAGGGTGACATGAGTTTGTGTTTCCAAACATCCCAATGCATTATGAAGATTTTAAAACTATATAATAGTAAAAAGATAAATGGACAATGATGATTGGTGTATGTATTTTTTTTTTATATATAAATTTTTGTATTATGAAAAGGAGGGATTTATTGTATTATTATGTATAGATTCCAAAGTTCAATACCTCCTTATCCTCCTTAAAAGCCTACAAACATAAAATATAATTTTTAAATCTATGTAGGTTTTAGATTTTGGGTGTTATGTGTAAAAATAAAAGAAGCACAAAAAGCAATAGGATATATTGAGATTATTATAAAAGCATGAAAAACATAATTAAATATTCAAGGGTACGTTTGATACAAAATTATATTCTAAAAACCAGTGTAAAATAATTTTTTATAGTTTTTAATCGGAAAATAATTTTTAAATATTTTATTAAACATGTTTTTGAATATTAGGACTTAAAAAAAAAAAAATTGTTTTTAGGATTTTTTTATAACTAATTTAATTTATTAAAATAGTTTTTTTTTTTAAATTTTTTCTAATTGCTGAAGCCTTCACACCAATTAGAATTGCAACAAATAAAAATAAAAATAAACCAAAAATGAATTATTAGTAACATATTTCTCAAAATCTCTAAGAAAACCAATATAAATTGCAATTAAAAGAGGGTTAAAAAAAATCTAATTAATTATATTACTAA